CAAGAGAAATAAAAAAAATTAATATTTTTTTATTTTTTAAATCGAATTTTTAATTATTTTTTATTTTTATTAATTTTTTATTTTTCCTTTATTTTTGGCCGATCGCCGGCCGCCGTGGCCGGCGACCGACCACAGGCGAGCTCGAGCTTCGCCGGTGTCACGCCCCGCACCCCACTGGAACGCAACATCCCGTCATGGTCGATTATGGTGTAATGCTCTCAGGAAGCATTGCCGACCCAACGCCCAATCAGAGATCAAACACATGCGGAAGTAACGTATATAATTAAATATATATACCTGTACCATAAAACATATGAGACCAAGGTAGAACAACCAAATAGCAGTCAAGCACCTCAGAAAATATATATACACTGGTATTACCAACGAAAACCTTTTTACAACGTTCGTCTATACAGAGATAGTGGAAAGCACACACACTAGCAGCTACGGATTCTTGGGTGTGGTAATGCAGCTATCCCACACTTACAAAAAGACTGAGTAGTGTCTCACGTAGGTGCTCTGTCTCCACAAGGATGTACACCGGATGATCAGGATGAACTGCGGTATACCAAAAAGAGGCGCTCTCCTTGGCATCCTACGGCTGGGGTCTGAAAATGTGGGTTATTACAACCGTGAGACGAATCTCAGCGAGTATAACCCCCTAAACCTAGGCTAGGCTAAAATGCAATTCTCCTGACCAATAACACATAATCACATTGCAAGTTTACTCACAAATAATTTCTGACCTAGGCCCTCTGGCCCAGATCTCTTACCTGGCTGACCTTGCAGGTTATTCAAAATAATAATATAATCCAGTCACATATACGAGCACTCGGTTCACGCATACATCAAGCGTATGTTCATGCTCAATAATGATAACATCACGTACTATTCACCGAGTCCCACACACTCGCATTCTGGCCCACGCATTCTTATGCAAGCAAATGTCCACATTCATGTCTCGGCTCACTAGCCCACACTGGCACACTGGGACTTTCTCAATTTATCATTTAATATGACCCGCGTAAAACGCATCAGGTCTCTTTGTTTAATCACAACACTTCGTGGCCCGCGTTAAAACGCATCAATCGGCCCAAGATGTCTCTAGCCCGCGTCAAACGCATCAGCGCAACACCGATCTCCTCACTAACCGAGCCCGCGTAAAACGCATCAAGTTGGTCGTCTTCCGACGCACCGGCATCGTCCCGCGTAAACGCCTCGGGACGGCATACCCCGCGTAACACGCATCAGGGTGAAATGTGATCACACATACACACGATCAATTATTATCTGAACCCCGCGTAAAACGCATCATGGCATAATTAGGTGATCACATGCTCATGGCAGGCACGCATTCTTGCACTATTCATCACACGTCTCATTCTCGGCACTCAAAATGCGTGTCCATGCAATGCAGTATGATGCACCATGAGCATCAAATATAATTAAGCACTCAGTCAATTTCATGCCGCAACAACCGTTCACTGGCCAATTAATACCGTGCGGCCCAATTTCACGATGGATAATTCAATAATATTCAATAATCCAATCAAGCCATTAAATGGCCAATCACACTCCGCACGAGTCGGCCACACAGTCACGCGACATGGCATTATTCAAATTTCCCAACAATTGGGTACCGAATCAACAAGCCAATCAGTCCGGGCATACCCGGCAGTCCAATCATAAAATCCCCAACTCATCCGTACTAATCCAACAATTATCTCTAATAATCCTACCAATATCCTCAAATATAATTCCACTTATCGGTCCTCAATTTAGTCCTAAATGTACACCGATAATACCTAAGCTAGTCCAGAAAAATGCACTATCAGTCCTAATCCGGGTTTAGGAAATATACTCACCTAATTTGTGCACTGTTCACGCGGTGATGTTCACTGCGCGGGCTTCAGGGAAACGATGGTGTCCACGGTAGAACAGAAACAGGGAAAAAGGAAGAAGAAGTTGGGGGAAATGGCCGAATGAACTTTACGAGAGAGAGAGAGAGAGAGAGATATAGTCTGGTCAAACTGAGTCAACACTGCCTTGGTGGAATCCAAGTGTCAAGATCTAGGGCTATTGAACAATTTTGCCCTTGATCCAAGGGCTAGGATTCGAATCCAATAATTTATGGGTGAAATGGTCTTTTGTCCCTAACCATGGTTGACCAGACCTGGTTTAATCCCAATTAACCTTGGTTAACCCCAAAATTTTGACCAATTTTCGGAATTAAATAAAATGGTCTTAGGGGCATTTTCGTAATTTTCCGATCCCGAACCGAAATTTCAATTTTCGCACATACGTGTTCCATATGTGCGTGGCCAACATAATATGGCGTCGGAATCGCGAAATTCATCGCGCAAGCCCTCCAAAATCCACGTCAAAGTTTCGGGAATAAAATAATATTATTTTTCTAATTTTTTGTCGAAATTCCAATTTTTGGCCAAAACGACTCCTGGTATGCGTGGCCACCCAAAAATGGCATCGGCCACGAAAAATAACCTCATTTGGCCTCGAAAGCGACGCTGCATCCCGGGGCAAAATCATAATTTTTCACCCCTGACCAAAATTCCAATTTTTACTCGTACTAACTCCACATGTGTGTGGCCAGCGTAATATGACGTCGATTCCCAAAAATAGTCTCTTAAGCCTTCGAAAATCGATACCGAAATCCGGCTCAATTTCGTGAACAAAACTCGCTAAACTTTCAACTTCAGGGTCTCTCACTAACGGGCGGCTGTTTAGAGGTTACGCGTATCGACCTAGGGTTATCCATATCGTAATGGTCTCGATCATTGAGAGAATGAGAAATTATCACTAGCCCCAGAGGCTACGATCGTTCGGTTTAGGTTCAGGACTGATTGGCCACGTGCACTTTTCGGTCATGTAATCACCGCGATCCGAGTGTACAACGTTGGCCTTGGCCAAACCAAATCCATTACCTTCCTAAGATCGGCCCACATCGGTTCAAAATATTCCTCAAAGATCTCTTGCGATCGGTATCCGTTTCACGGTAGGGTCTCCGGTCCACGTACCGTTTTCTAGTTAGCCATACCCTATTGGTTAATATCCCGAGAGTGACCAGCTCTGGGCGAGACTCACTAAGATGAAATGCGAATTAATATCAGTTTTATTGATCCCGGAATTACATCGAAATTGGCATTACCGCCTCGGGTGAGGCTCCACTTCGCCGATCTCGGAGGTCGAGCTCGCTGAGGCCGGCGAGCCGTGTCTCTAGATCGGCGAGGCCGGAGCCTCGCCGGATCGGGCGAGCCTCGAGGTCGCGGAATCGGGCGAGCTCGAGGCTCGCCAGAGGCCGCGAGCTCGAGCCAGGCTCCGGCGAGGTCGTCCCGCCCCGGTGGCCGGTCGCCGTGGCCGACCACCGAATAATAAAAAAAAAAAAAAGAGAAAAGAAAAAGAAAAATAAAAGAAAAGGAGAAAAAATAAAAATAATTAAATTTCGATTTTGTTTAAACATTTTTGTAAAGAGGGAGAGAGTATGTGGATGGGTCTAGTAGGTGGGTTGGACATGGGTTCCAAACTCAACCCATTTAGACCCATTTATCTTTAAGCTTTAAAATTTAAAACCCATTTAAGGTTGACTCTTTAAAATTAAAGTGACCCATATATGACCCATTTATTTTTAAATGGGTCATATATGGGTCTAAGACCCATTTTGACACCTCTAGGTACGGGCATGGGGTCTCAAGCCATAGCCTCATTGGACCATGGCTCGAGCATAGGGGATCCAGGCACAAGCATAGGCACCGAGGGTCCTGGGCTCGGCATCTGTGGACCTGGACCCGAGCATGGGCACTAGAGACTTGGGCCCAACCACTAAGGTTCGGTGCCCAACCTCAATGGATCGGGCCTAGGCACGAGCACCCAGGACCCAAGCATTGCTTTTGTGGTGGACCCGGGCTTGGGGCAGGGATCTGAGCACAAGTCTTGAGGTCCTGCACTTGGCCTTTGTGGACTCAAGCTCAGGTGCCAGGGCATCGGAGCCTTGGGCCCAGGTGCCGAGGCATCGGAGCCTTGGGCCCAGGTGCCGAGGCATCGGAGCCTTGGGCCCAGGCTCGATGGATGTGGTCCCGAGTGCTAGAGACTCGGGCACTGACATCGGGGTCTCGGGCTCGACTAAGATGGACCTAGGCATGAGCTCCAGAGACCCGGGCACAAGCGCTTGGGTCGCGGGCCCGGCCTTAATGGACTCGAGCCCAAGTGCAAGGGAGCCAATTCTGAATGCCGAGGACCTGGGAATGAGCGTTAGAGTTCCCGTGCCCAAGAGCAAAGTTTTTATTTTTTTTTGTGACACGAAAAACCCTAAACTATACCACTTATGACACATTTATCTCACAATACTTTGGCTCGTAGGCATTTTCGTCTTTTTCCTCTTTTTTTTCCTTTTTTTTTCTTTTCTTCTCTCTTCCCTCCGCCGGCAATGGCGGAGGGCTGCCAGCGAGGGCGGCTCTGCGATCCGGCGAGGGTCGCCCTCGCCTGTCATCCCGAGCAAGGGCGACCCATCGCCGGCTTCCCTCCGCCATGGCGGCGGAGGGAAGAGAGAAAAAAAAAAAAAAAAAAAAAGGAAAAAGACGAAAATGCCCATGGGCCAAAGTATCGTGGAGTAAATGTGTCACATGTGGCATAGTTTGGGGTTTTTTCGTGTCACAAAAAAAAGTTCAGGGTAAATTTGTCATGAGTGGCATGTTTGGGTTTTTCGTGTCACAAAAAAAATTCAGGATAAATTTATCACAAGTGGCATAGTTTGGGATTTTTGGTAGTATTTTCCCTTTAAGATATGATATCTAGTCATATTTTGAAAAATGATTTTCGATTTTTTTAAAAAGAAATATTTTCCTGAATTTAAATATATATTTTCTGTTGACTAGGAAATCCAAATGGCGGAAAATGAGGATAATGTTTTCTCATAAAATATTTTTCGCGAAACAAACGGAGCTTAAGAGTCATAATTTTTCCTAAACACTAGCCAAGGATTCAACTTAGAAAGATGAAAACTTGAGGAATCTCTTAAATATATCACTATCAAGTTTCTAAAACCGGGAGGAGCATCAACGGGCCATATAGCACACCACAAGGACTAATAAGAAGGTCGATTTTGATTATTGATGGCATCATCAATCAAATAGGAGATGATTCACACTAAACAAAAGCACTCACAAATAAGGGAGAACTCAACTCGCATTATTACACATCACGTATATTAAATTGGGTAAAGCCAAGAACAAAGCCGTCGAGATCTGCTTCAAGGGCATTTGGGTCTGTTTCCGTGGGTCTTGAGCTTGGCATAGCACGGGCAGGCGTTCTTGTTGCCGTAGGTCCCCGGCGGCACACAGTGGCACCTCGCGCAGCATGTCTTGCACGCTCTGTGGCACATATTCTTGCGCGACGACTTGCTGCATCTCCTTGCGCACACGTAGCTGCAATCTATGTTAAGACATCACGAAGCCGGCAATCAAATCGCGCAAGTGCTAACGTACATACACACATGTAGGACCTATAGACGGGTCATTGCACCCTAATCACATTAGGAAAGTTCTATTTCCCCAAATGGCAGTCTCAGTCATAACTTATGTACCGCGCACACATTATCGTGGTTATTAATAAAATGTGCGCACGTTATAATCTCAAGGCCGCTTGCGGAAACAAAACTTTCCATTGACAGTGTTCCTTACAGAAACATTGTGTACGATATGCTCTTAATTTTCTAGCTATGTATATGCTTTTAATGCTGCATATACATTTGCTCTTTATTGTTTTCTGGGGTAACACACACATCGATACATCATCATCTATACTGTATAAATCTTATTGACGCCATCAAACTTACTGATCTTGCGAGGATGATGTTGATGACGTTTGTCAATGTTGGTGATCCCCCTCTCTCCTCCGTTCATCTGCAAAAGGTGGTCGAAGCTAAAAATGCTCAGTCAAGCCAGATGAGAGCACGTACAAAATTGTAGGAGACAACCATTGTTAAATTCGGATTTTGTCGAGGATTAAGTATCTAGATTCTATCTAATCGTGTGGAGGAAATAATTTAATTTCGTTTTGGAAATACTTGACACTAAAGTTAAAAATGGTATATTTGGAACGAACTTTATCTGAGATTTTATCCTTTTTTCTTTCTGGCGTCATTTAACATTTGATTTTCGTATATCAAGAAAAAGCTTGGTTTATATGAAAATACTCAGGAGAAAGCTTGAAACAAGTATATTGAATGGTTGCTGCAGAGCAACAAAATCTCTTCTTAATCAGTGGAAGGGATAACAAGATTCATATTCGAATGGAGTAAGGAGCAGTGATTGAACTCACACTGGCGAGAGCGTGACTGGCATCAGTCCCTTGCGAAGCCTCTGCAAAAGCCTAGAACAAGCACACAATGCGGCCGCCAAAATATGAGAATTGATGAATCGGGGACATGCTGAAGTCTTGATGAAACCAAGAACATCATCAAAATAACAGAGACTTTGGACAATCGTAGACTAATGACTACACGTTCTTCATCGGAGAACGATTTGTGGGAACGTCGGAACCAGGTGCGTGAGCGGCAATGACAACGTACCTGGATCAAAAGGATGGCGGTGACGAAAAGAAGAAACAGCTTCATCTTCATCTTGTGATCGCAAAAGGGAGAGGATCTGCGTGTGGAGACGCCTCAACGCAAGGTACGACGGAGGTGGATTTATACAGGGCTTCCAGTCCTTGTCCTTGGCAGAGAGAATCACATGCAGCCGCACGACGGATGTCGCAAGGGAAAAGCCACGAATTTTGAGGAGTATTGAGTGCACGGAGAGAAAAAGGACAAAGCTTTTTCGGAAGCTTCTCGCTTTTTATTTACACTCGTCTCTGTTGTTGGATTGCTTTAGCGTGAGCTAGCCCAGCGGTGATGATTCCTTGGACTGGTTGGTGGGTGTCTCTGTGCGTGACTGGTCCCCCCTAAAACGCAGCTCGTGAACTTGTCTGTCTCAAAGTCTATATCTCTCTGAGCTTTCACTTAACTGGTTCACCAAATCAGTAGCACTGCAACAAGTTGCAATGGCGATAGTGCATGTCTCTCGCCCATCCTTTTCGTCACCCTTATCCGGTGGAGTGTTGTGGTACATCGCTCGCGCGGGTCGAACCTAAAGAAAAGCTTCACATGCTGTGGGGAGACTGCACGCTGTGGACAGCGATGGACATGTTTGCCTCCATCTGGTCGCTCGGTTTGTTTGACGACGACGGAGACACGACATGCATGGGAAGGTCTCTGCGCCGAAGCCCGAAAGCCCGGAAAGGCCCGCCCGGCCCAAACTGATTTCTGGGGCCCTTGTATCACCGAATATACCCACCCAATACAAACTTCCAATTAAGCCCGCGACCATATCCCTTTTCAAGGCCCAAACATGATAATTCACCTCCCCTCAAACCAAAACAAACCACATGTAGCCGTAATCTCCAAAAAGCCGAACCAAAGGCAGCCTTTGCATTTCCCTAAAGGCTTTCTCCAAAGGCCGAACCAAACCCAGTGGTAATCTTGAAAAAGGATTGAGATTTTTTAGATCCTCTAAGACGAAGGAGAAAATATTCAATGGTTTCTTTTCATCACGTCATGAGCTGATGTGGCGAGCATTTTTATGCTCCCATCCAATTACACTTTGACACGTATAGGCTAAAGTGGAATTCAACACAAAAACTAAAAACTTCATTTCTCACTCTTCCTCCACCATGACAGCCATCGCCCAGCACGACTGTTGCCACCACTCAAGCCGCCGCAACCTCCATCTTCCAGTCCTCTGTGCTGTCACGGCCGTCGCACCCAGCGGCGAGTTTGCACCATCCACCTTCATTGCCGCAGATCTACTCTGGCCACCCTGATTTGGAGCCATGGCGAGATGGAGGCTACCGGACCTAAATAGTGACCGACGAGGCGGGAAGACGAAGCTAAAGACCAGATCTTGAGCCATAACGACGGTGGGAAGAGGAAGCAATAAAATCTTACTGATGGCCGAAGACAAAGATGAACAGACGCAAGGAGGAAGACGAAGACGACCACATATACGACCACAAGCAACCACTTCTAGATATGGCAATGGTTGAGCCTAAATGCGAGCAACCACGAAGGAGTGGCTCGGCCATGGACGGCCAACAACCACGAGCCGCCACGACTAATATGGTGGCTCCGCCATGGACCACGGCTCCAGATCTCACCTTGTCAGCTGTGGACTAGTGGCATCACCAGCCTGATCTAGCTAAGTTCATCTTCCTGCAGTCGCCATGATTCCGGGCAGATCTGAACTATAGCAACGAAGGGAGAGGGGAGGAAGAGAGATAAAAAAAAAAATTATATTTGCAATTTTTTTAATTTCAAGTTAGTGTTAATATGTCAAGTTCTAATTGGATATGGACAAATAATGCATGCCAACGTTACTAGCGGTTCGAAACCATTGAATATTTCCTCGAGACGAAGGAATGCAATGATCTTGAAAAGACGAAAATGCCCTTATATTTAAAGAGGATCCGCTCGTAAAACCACAGCCCAAACCCAAAATCTCAATTCCCTACTCTGTCTCCACCCCCGTCCCCCTTCTGGCTCTACCATCATAGCACACATGCTCTCCGCTTTGCTCCTCGTCACCTTCGTCTCCTAGTTTCTCTCTCCCGATGAGCCACCTGTATCTCAGCTCTCTCCTTCGCTCGACTCCCTCTCTTCTACGACCACCACAAACCAGTTGTCCCCTCTCCTTAATGTTGTTGCTGGCCGCGACAGGCGGTGGGTCGTGTAGTTCAGAAAGGTGAGAGAGATAGATGTGGTGGAAAAAGTGGAGATGGGTTAAAAACACACAAAAAAAAGGGAATATATGCGAGTCATTCGATCCTAATTGTGGTAAAGTATCGATTCTTCAGGAACATAAATTTGGATGTGATAGACTCATCCCTTAACTTTAGAATTTTCCAGTCCATTCAAAAAAATATACTCATATGATGTCACGAGGAAAGCTACAGTAGATTTTTGCTATAAGTTACGAGTTACAAAGGGTGAGGAAATGGTATTTTACTACTTGCTGTTTCCTCTTACCATACTTCAGATATACGTAATGGCTGTATAGACAAACCAAAAGAGGACAAGTTAAGGAGCCATCCCACGTTATCCAAGGCGAACCACCAAAAGACGTGGATTGTCTATCTCATTAATAACTCCTAAACTAAGGATAATCCAAGACAAAAAAAAAACTGAATAAGACCCAAAGGCAGGCAATGATTGATCCCTCCTCCATTCCATGCGATATGCGAGGTGAAAAAAAGGAGACAGCGGAGGAGGAGACAAGTGGAGGTGTGCGAGGAGACGAGTCACTATCAAAGCCCTGGTTCATGGGCCTCCCCAATCTTTCTTCCACTCTAGAAGTCTTCTGAAGTCTCTATCAAGTTAAGTTATAACACAATCTCTCTCTCTCTCTCTCTCTCTCTCTCTCCAGACCCACAAACCGCCCCAGATAAACCCCACTTACGTGATATACACTGTCCCTCTCTTGGATTTGTCCATTTGCTAACTAAAGCAACCCTAACGCTTTCTGTTTTTTTGTTTTCTATTCATTATGAAGAAGGTGATCTATGGTGTCCTTGAGGCATACCCTACCTCTCCCCCTCCACCACCGTTTTTATGGTATGTCCCTCTGGGTGGCTGTTTGATATCTGAGTGGCAAATGAAATGACCAAGGACCATGTTCACACCATAGAGTAAGCTCGATTCAATTTGATCGGGTTCGGTTTGGCAGATCGACGTGAACCAAATCGACCCGTTCGTCGGTTCGATCCCTTACCAAACTCATGTATACTGTAATTCTTGTGAGAAGAAACTTCAAAATGAAATAGTTCGATGTCGATTTGGTTTGATTAACCAACAGGAAACACATTAGTTTAATCCTATTTTAATTTGTACTTAATCAATTAATTGTCATGTGGAGAGTTCTTTGTAAATGCGAGAGAATGTGGTTTTGATCTGTAGCATGAGTTTTTGTGAGAGATTAGTGGCTCACATGCTGGATAGAGAGGCAACTATCACGGCAATGATGAATGTCAAAGGAGATGAGAATTCAGCAACGTATTCATTTCGGAACCATATCAATCCACGGTACCGTCCAGCCATTACATGAAACAAGTCACTAACCGGCCATTAGGTCCACGATGGTGACCTTATGTACTCTTATTGACGGTCCATAGAGTCCTATATCTATATGTGGCTCTCCCACCCTCTTTCGGTAATCAGAAAAGGTGAAGCGAAGAAGAAAGCGAAAGATAGGAGAAGGAAATAATTGGGGGACGTTATCATTGGAGGAAGCAACAAACTTAGAAAAAAGGGAATTTCATGTCCTGTTCATGTAAATACTTTCATCCTAATCATTCGAGAAAATATTTAATTCATCGATCGACATGAGCTGACATAATGCGAGAGATCATTTACCCGATTGATATGTGTTCTGACATTTTAAAACCTCCGTTTGAATTATAACCAGTTCGATGCATCCTTACAATTCCTCGCCCTTATGCATAGGTTTGTACAGATCCAACTCAAACTGTTCCCACAACAATTTCACGTCCAAAACGAAGCACCAAGTCTCACCGAAGAGAAGCAACAGATTCATCAAAGAGGAGATTGGAAGTAAGAGCTGGAGATATCTGAACCCGTCGAATGTGAATAGGGAAACGAGCCAGTGCGGCTGCAAACATTTGAGTAGATTCGATTCTCCATCCCAATAATCATGTTTTGTCCCAAAAGAACAAGGCCGGGCTACTCTCTATTTCTCTATTGAATTCAATCCTTTTCAGAGGGTCCCGTCAATGTACGAAGAAGCTCTCAAGTCTCGAGTAAATTCAAGCATACTTATCACACATCCGCTAGCTAAAGCAGTAACCGCGATCCTCCCTAGTTCGAGTCCTTGTCTTTTCTTAACACGTATAACTTGGCAATTACCGTGCGAAGTAAAATTAGTACATAATCATAGGTGCGTAAATTACAAGTAAAAAAGCAGAATGCTGTAAATATAGAGCCTTAGATTTGGATGATGCCCAAGGCAAAACTCAGACAGCACTTGGGGTCAGGTCAGGTCAGGACAGGTCAAGAGATGTGTAACATCATTTGTGTCCTCGATCAGAAGAGAATGTCCCAAATAGAAAGGGTGAGGAATAAACAAATTGCACTTTTCAGCTTTCAGGGAAGGAGAAGGAGAAAGAGAAGAGAGAAGGGTCGCTTTCAAACTTCAGTTTGATGGCAGAATCTCCGCACAAGATCCTAGGCAGTCCCTTTTTACACGCGACCCACCCTTGCTTTGCTCACAAACCTCTCTCTCTCTCTTTATATATTTATTTTTGGCTTATGTAGCATGGTATTGTTCTATGTTGATCTTGGGTTTGTTTCATTAGTAAACTAAAGGGTCATGGTGACCCCAAAGCGCACCTCTGTAGATGAAGCTTTTATCCGACGAGAAAGCCAGCTCCAACAACGTCCAATTCTATGTTCGATGAGTGGGCTATAGACCTGGATGGTCATCAAGCGGTGCAATAAGAAATTGTAAGAAAAGGGAAAGTCGGTAGATTTGGCATAAGATCGCGATGATTTCCTCAAATTTATATTAGGAAGGTCCGCTAATATTAATTAACTATCCATGGTCATTGATGAGGTGGGACTGGGACCCCTTGAGATCGTCCGGCTCGGTACTCTGCATGCTCCTCCCATTTGAATTATCTGCAAGAGGGACCATGGTAAAGTAGAAAAATTCTGGTAGGGGAAGAAACGACATTGCTGAAGACTTTTACGTAT